CTCTTTTTTGTTTAAGAACTGCAGTAAAACTGATTTTTCTGCATTCTATAAGGGTAGGCATTGGAAGATGCTAATTTGTCTTACTGTCTTGATTGCCTGGCAGGGCTTGAGATGTTTAAAGTGCATAAATAAACAAAGACCTTGCCAGGTTTCAAGTTCTCTTAGTACCAGGAACAGACAGAAGGGGTTATAGTAAGTGTCATAATTCAATATGTGGGTATGTTTTTAAGGAGTGCAGGTGAAGCAGAGACAGTTGCAAGTGTTAAAGAGACTGCGTGTGCAATGTGCACTGGACTTCCCAGCTTCCCTCTTGAACTTGACTGGCTTTGTTTGTAAAGCTCATTTGCGGGCAGGGAAAGACAGTCATCATCTGCTTTTCATTTTCACTCAGGATGGATTAAGGGCATCGTGGGGCATGTACTGTTGCATCTTATAAAGATAAAGCTGTGCTGTGTCCAGCCCTAGTATGGCTGATAAACTGCCACCAGCAGTTCACCCTCTGGCCGGGCAGTCCACACTTATGAGAGCAGAGGTGAGATGCCAGGCACTGACACAGGAGGAATGGAGTGACGCTGTGTGCAGCTTGCTCCAGAAGTTCCCAGAGGGCATGAAAAGGAGCTCTTCAGTGTCGGGAAGCTCTGGATGGGACAGGGTGAACATCATGTGTTACTGCTCTCATGCTGTAGGTTTCTCTCTTTGCTTTGCCCCAGTACATGTGGAAAGAAGCTGTGTGATAGCGGGTACGCTGGTTTATTTTTTATCATTTGGGCTGATAAAGTGGTGAGTCTGGAGCTGTGCGGAGTTGAGCTCTGCTGCTGTAGCTTAGGAAACTGTTACTTTTTAAGTGGCCTTGTATCTAGGACTAGAGAGATGGGGGAAAAAAGCCACTCAAGAGGTGATTGCTTATAAGTTCGTTGTTTAATGTTTGTATAAGACAGAATGTTCGTTTCATTTATTAAATATGATGGTTAAAGCATAGTTTTCTGTGAAAAGGAGCCTCTCAATAGGGAGAAAAAGTAAAAGTCTTGAATATTTCCTTTATAAAATTGCAAGTGACATGCTCTTTCTTTTATAGCTTATCTCACCAGGCAAACTCTCAGTAAAACCCCATCCCGCTTGGCAAGTTTAGGGTAAGATAATTTGATTCACTCTGGGTTGTGTGTGAGAGAAACAACAAAATTCTTGGGAGGCTAAATAACAAACTGGTCATTAATGCCCAGAGGGTGAATGCCTTTCTTGCCCTTTAGCCCCTCTGAGGGTCAGCTTGACTTTCTCCCAGAGAACCTTTCTATAGCTCCAGGTTACACCAGCCCCATGGGCCGGTCCCCGCCATTTTGGGGCAGCCCCATGGGCCGGTCCCCGCCATTTTGGGGCAGCCCCATGGGCCGGTCCCCGCCATTTTGGGGCAACCGCTGGGCCCGTCCCTGCCATTTTGGGGCTAACAGAGGCCATGGGTTAGTCTCCGCCGTTTTGGGGCAGGTCATGCAGTTGGCTCCCACCGCTTTGGACTTGAGCAGAGATTCCCTAAGGCTCCAGGGACAGGGAGGGAGCAGTGGCTGTCCCACCTATGCAAAGCTTGCCCCGTTCCCTCTGACTTCCCACCTGGTTGTTTTGAGCCAATCAGTCATTCCTCCAGTCTCCTATACCAGTGAAGGAGTGAGCTTCTTGTGAGCAATACTGTCCTTACTTAAATTGAGTGTGCAGTCTTTGCAATTACCTTGACAACGCTTTTTGGTTTGTTTCTTGAATTCACACAGTTTCAGTCAAGGCCGATGAAAACTGTCATGTAAATGGAGAGGAATTCAGGTCCTGTTTTGTGAGATCTTGTGCTGTATGTTTGTAGGTTTTTGTGCTGTTTAATTTTCAGTGCAAGTATCTTTTCCTGGAGATTTTTCTTCAGTTAGTTGTCTAAGGGTAGAAGGGGAGTCTTCAAAAGGGATCAACATCACAGCAGTGCTGAAGGTGAAATGGCTCATTGTCCAGAT